ACACTCGCAAAATCGCACACAGCCGACCATATAACAAACTCTGTATTTTGAGTGGAAATGTTAGGGGGTCATCTTATACGCCGAGTCGTCTTATACGCCGGCAAATACGGTAATTGGTTTAAGTAGAAGTGGGAAGTGCATTCATCCAGGAGAAAATGAAACACAGTGATGATAACATTTATGCTTGTGGTATATTAATCATAGGCTCTTGTCCACTTTATAAATATAATTAACAAGGTCTCATAATAAGTGTGGAATATATAGGTGTTAGGGGATGTGTCTTCCATTTTCAGGGCAACAGGCTTGTATTGAATGTATTTTTAAATTTTTTCATTTTTTTATGGTCACGCATAGTTTTTATTTTTTAGTTTTATCGAGATATCATAGACAAACAAAATTGTGAGATATTAAAAGTGGACATTGTGGTGATTTGATATGCATGTACATTGTGAAAGTATTCCCACCATCTAGTTAAATTAACATATCTAACACGTGACATATTTATCCTTTTTGTTTTTTAATGAGAACATTTAAGTCCTACTCTCTTGGCAAATTCCAGTGATATAATACAGTGCGCTTATTTTCAACAATTGGCAGGTGGTGTCAGGCCAGTGCGTGGCCCTCATGGTCTGCGACTCTAAGAAAAACAAAAATTATAAATAAATTTAAAAAAAAATGTGGGTGGAATCCTAAAATAATGTTGTCTATTTGTGGCCACAGTATAAACTGGCTTAGGAAAGAAAAGAGAACAAATATTTTTACTTTATGGTTTTGTAGAAGATGAAAAAAAATTTTTTTTAACTTACGAGATCAACCCTCTGAAGCTGGCTAGATCATGTGGGCTATTAGTAGCCAATCTCAAATGCCTGCGGAGAGAAGTTCAGTGAAAATATGTTGTGTGGATCAGTGTGAACCCTGAATTCATGGTCATGGCACAATATTGTGTGGGAACAGGGTAGTAAAATGATAGTTGTGTGGCACTAAGTTTAGTCTAATAAACATCTTTATTATTACTAGGATTTTTACTGTAACCCTCTTTAAATTCATTATTTTAATTTTACAGAGGAAACAATGAAAAATAATGGTTGAAATACACTTTGCTAATTAGCAAAGGGATTTGACAGGATTAAAGGGACAAATGCTGAGGAAGATAGAAAAGAGGCAATTTGAGATGTTTTGTGGGCTCATCTCTATCTGTTTAATTTACGTATTTTACAGCTCTTTTGGTCTTTGTGACACTCTAGAACCCGATGAGGGGGCTGGTGTGACAAAGGCGGTGTAGGAAATGTGTGCCCTTTGCAAAAGACTTTGGAGACACAGAAATTATGAGTTGTTGTTTTTTTAAAGGATCTTGGAAAAGAATTGCCTCGTATCGTTCAATATAAAAATAGCCTTTGCTTCTGGGTGCTTTGTGACGATAAAGTAAAATTACTGAGTTAAGGCGAGTACCCCATCTGGGAAATAACAGTTGTTGGCATTAGAACCTTCTCCCGTGCTATTAGATGTCACTACAGATAGTGTTCTCACTTAATTTTGATATTTTTTTTCAGGGAAAAAGCAAGAGGCATTGCTCTCAGTGGCACCTTGTCCTCTTTCTATTGGGCCATAACTCTCACAAGAAAACAAAAGTGTACCTACCGCCCATATCCCATAATCCCTGCCTGGTGCTCTGCTCAAGCCTGCAAATCCTCTCTGATTAGGATTAGGGTTCAGTTACACTGTTGTATTGAACTTTTTGGAAGACAAATTAAAGAACATATTCTTCAAACTGTGGTGTTAGTAAAGGGAAAGGAGTCAGTTTTAGAAAGTGAAGTATAAACGTTTAGGATGCAGGTGGTAACCTTGGTGTAATTATTAGGAGTATCTCAACAGCCACAAGTGATGATGTGGCGTTTTTAGATGAGAGCTCTGAAACAGTTCATCCCCATGGAATGAACAAGAAAGTCCATACAGATAGACTGTCTACCATGGGAAGAAAACAGGACCACTCCTATTTCTGTGTATTCTCAAACCTCAGTCCTTACTTTTTATTTTTCACATGTTGTAATGTTTGTGGTATCCTATATTAGAGCACAATAGGTTTCTAATTTGTAAATAAATATGCATTTAAATTTTCATGTGTAAAAACGTCACCATTGGCCATATTGAGTCAAAAGCATTTAGAGACCACTAGTCAAGACAAAACGACATTGTGTTCAGTTTTCTCCATGGTTGTGACTGAGTAGAGGTTCGATGTTTAGTAATTTTCTGCAGGAAGAGGTCTCCCAGCAAATTTTCATCTTATATTTATGCAAGGGATGTGTTTTAGTGGCTGGTTGCCTCCCTTAGTGATTGGTGTTTGCTCCTTCCTGATGCCCCGTTTTGTTCTCTCACAAGTGTTCAGTGTTCTAGAGCAAAAAAAAAAAAAAAAAAAAACCCAGGGAACCATAGGGCCATTTCAAACACTTTTATTTTACATATGAACAAACAGATCCCTATTACTAAGAGTGGTGCAGGCAGAGTAACCCTTTCTAAAAGATGAGGAGAGAGAAAGTAAATTATTTAGCAAAGTGTCATGTACTTGATTTTAGCAGTGCCTATAATCACTTATAGTCAAATTTGTGTAGAGGTAAGTTAAATGGCAAAATTATATTTGAGAATTAACTGTTGATTTCCTGCGTTCTGTTTCTTAACTTTTGTCATGTTATTCTTCATTTGATGAGAAGTCTGGGGTTAATAATTTGCTAAATCACGCTTGCCTTATAGACTGAGCACCAGATCAGTTCTTCTTCATTAAAATCAAAAAAGTAATATTAATTATATGGAAATGTTTGGAAGATTGAATTCTACTTATTCCGGCTTGCTTTTACAACTTATCTGCTAAGTCCATGATGAAGAAAAAAAATAGTTGACAAATCTTTTAAATTGGAGAAAAGTCAAATTAATTACCTAATTAACACAATTTAAAATTATTTTTCAAAGTAATGTCTTCTTTAAGAGACACTTGCATAACCATTATGCAAGCCAAGAAGCACAATTCCACCA